ATTTTGCTGTTCGAGCTGCCACTGTTGCATTTTCTTGCAACTGCTGTTATCTCTCTTCTTGTTTCTTTTCTTTTTCCTCAAACAACTGCTGTAATCTCTCTTCTTGTTTCTTTTCTCGTTCTTCTAGTTTCTTTTCTCGTTTATTTTCCCGTTCTTCTTGTTTATTTTGCTGTTCTTGTATTGCTGCCATCAAATCTGCTAAGCTGTCGTTTGATTTGCCGCTTCTCGTTTCCATTTTTTTTTTCATCCCACTCTCTGACACCAATTTGTTACGTCTCCGTTTGTTAAATGATTTCCAGTAAATTCGATCCAACGAAACTTTAGCAACACAAGTCCTTTCTGAAATAAAACTGGTTTGCTTTTCCGAATACAACTTTACCGATACACTTAATTTCAACAGTCGCTCTATAACAAACGCTAGAACGTCTTTCGTGCTCGACAAAACTCAGTCCAATTACACACTCTCTGACTGCAGTTCAATTACTCATTACCTCTGTTGTCCCGTCACGTTGTGGCCGTCTTATATATATACATACAAGACTAACACGTGTCTAGTAAATGCTAGGGCATTCTTGAAGGAACAGGATATTTCTAGAAAGAGGTGGCGTGATACTTGTCACATGACCTCGCTGATGCAACAATATGTTGAAAAGTTATGAACTGTGTCTTTTAGTTATCATCATTGAATTAAATTTATTGTTAGAAGAGGCATGTGAATTGTTATTAAAGATATATATATATATATATACACGTAACCAACGGTAATATACCTCCCAACCATGGTCTCTGAAGGGGCCCATTTGAACGATATTGAAGTAACTTAGCTAATTTTTATGGGCACATAAAAATATCTAAATATTTTTATTTTGGTGGAGGAACACAAAACATTTTGGTAAAGTATACTTCCATAAAACCTGGAGGGAAACAAAGTGTGTCCAGAAAATAAAGCAAGACCATGGATATGTACTGCAAATCCTTTTTTGACACTTCAGAAATACAATATTTAGTCTTCCAGAAAATGACAAATTCAAAGGTATTTACAATTTTAATAAAACAAACAATAAGGGTTAACCCACATGTTTGGTTGAAAAATGAAATTGTCAGATACTTTTGTTCAAAACGATTTATTTGAAAACCATTCCAATAATGATATAAAGACCATGTTTACCAAAATAAAAGAGTACAGAGAAAAACTCAAACCATTAACAGCATCAATATTTATGAAAATACTTAAATTTTCTGTCAACTAAGTTTCAAAATGTTGGGTAGTGATGCAGAATGATTAAAGGTAATAAGTGTTTTTGCATAAACAAAAAAATCTATGTACCTTAATGCCCCCTCTCTAATTATTGCCCCCCAGTATTTTTTATAAAGCTTACCTTGTGTGACAGCAATAGTTATCCAACATATAATACACTTTTATTACCATAATTTTTATTTGAAACAAAAAAGAAGAAAAACAAACACACACACACACACACACACACTTATTAGCAATGAAAATCAACAAATCTCACATGAAAAACAGAAACTGAACTGCATCAATACTATAATTAGCACCACCACCCGTTTGCAGTTTGCATCACCCCCAGGGCATTAATTAGGAGTAATAGGATAGGTTAAAAGAATTTGTAAATGTAACCTACTTAACTCTTTTACAGAATGCCATTCAAAGTGTTTTTATGTGTTCAATGTCAGAGTTACCAACTATTCATTGCTGGTTTAGCAACAGTTTGTGACAGAGAAGAAAAAATACCAGATACAATGCATGGGGATATTAAAAAAATAAAAACTGTACATTAACTGTTCTAAAGAGTTTGAAAATGCAATATGCAAATTGTACAATGGAAAAATGTATTTTCATTCTTCACATGAACATCAACTTATATTCCAACTTGTGAGAGTTTGAGTTAAACTGACATTGTCAATTCATAGACATATCTTGAGTATATATACTTTTGTAACACATTTAATTTTTTGTGTAAACCAGAATTGTATATTTCACTAAAAGCTTGCCACATTTCACATGGATACGCACAGAAAATTCGGAATCAAAATTAACATTCTGTCTCCAATATGTGGTCAGGTTCCAATGCACTGACCCCATGCATATTGAATTAAATGGATTACTTTTCTATTGTTTCTGCATTTATAAAAATATACATATATTAATTTCCAACATCTGTTAATTGTAAAGCTAAAACTCTATTGGACCATTCACATTAAATATTTCTTTAATTTGCTGATGTGACTTTTTTATTTACAGAAGTTAAAGATATCAGGATAGAAACAATAAAGTTTATGACCAGTCAACCCTCATGATTAAAGTCACATTGAAAGATGACTACTATCTCACTAATAGCTGGTGTTGCATACCATAATAACACCACCAGTCATTATTTATTTTCAGCCTGGCAAATATATGAACGAAATCAACATTGTAAGCACACTTTCATTAACAAATATTTAAACTGGAAAGCTTTTAAACAAAAAAGGGAGGGAAGCTTAAGACTCAAAAAACTAAAACTGAGCGTTCACATTATTTATAAGGTGAAAAAGCTATTAGAATGTGGAATTAAGTCAACTCATAACTTAAGTAATTAGAATATGTAAATTATGACAACACATTTGATAAAAAAATGGCATAATGCACATTCTAAAATCAGAAGACTTTTTACATTTAACATTTCTTTCTTTGTAGTATATTATATAATTATATGGCACGTTTTACACACATCTAATAACACCTCTAACAGGAGATATAAAATGTATGTTAATAAAAGAAAGTGAAACTGATATCAAAAATAAAAATAGTTTATGTTCAACATTTAATCATAATTAGGAATGAAAAAAAGCAAAAAGGTAATATAATGTAATTTCAGATTTGGTTATGATCCTGTCATAGAGTTTTTGTATAATTCTACAGTTTCTTCATTTGACCAAAGTTTAACCATTTTTTAAGCACCTTTTGAAGGAAGAAGTATCTATTTCTGTAGAGTACTAGTATTAACTTATAAAGTAAATATATATATATATATATACTTTTTTTAAATACCTAGCATATAATCAAAGGTTAGTGTTCAGAGAAATTATTAATCACAAAAGGTAATATTTCATGTTTTCATATGATTTTTGATTGAAATTATTTAACAATATTTAGAATACACACATTGCAAATTGAAATCCTTTCAGGTTTAAAACAGAAAAACAAACAATGCTCTAACTGTTTTATAAATAAATAAATATTCTAAACAGATTCATGTAACTATAAATAGTTAAGCAGTGTGCTGTTGCTAGTGGTACAGCAAAGAGGATTTTAGGTTTATCTTAAGAAATATTGAATACAAGTCAAAAGAGGTTATAATTTCATTGTATAGGTCACTGGTTAGGCCACATTTGGAGTATTGTGTTCAGTCTTGAGCTCTTTATCTTAGAAAGGAGATTGAACTGTTGCAAAAGGTTAAATAAGGGTTACTAAAATGGTGCCTGGGATGGAGAGGTTAAGATATCTCAAATTGTTTTCTCTTGAAAGAAGAAGAGTAAGTGGGGATCTGATTGAGGTGTTTAAGATTGTAAATGGAATTGATAGTGTTGATACATCATCTTTTTTTATACTTAACAGTGAGAATAGTAGGACTAAGGGACACAAGTATAAATTTTGGCAGGGTAAGAGTCATCTTCAATTAAGACAGTTTTATTTTTTTAACAAGGTGGTTGGCCTTTGGAATGGGTTGCCTTCAGGTGTTGTGGAGGCAGTAAATTTAAGTGAGTTTAAGAGAAAGTTTGATAACTATGTGAACGATAAAGGCTAGCTTTAAGATTTTTATTATTTTATTCATATAATAGTTTTAATTTAGTTTAGAGGATGGGACAGCTGAGATGGATCAATAGGTCCCTTGTTGTCCCAGAACATTATGTTATGTTAAATACAAAACAACAGGGCATACTATTTCATAAAACCTGTAACTATTACTATACTCATTATACAAAGCATATGAAAAAAACAATAAAGCACTCTACATGGGAAAGTATTTTAAATGATACTACTTTTATAATTCATGAGTACAATATGCTCTACTTTAATAAGATTATTTTAAGTAGTAGTATTTCCACAAATAATGTGTAACAATAGTATTTCATCAATAATATTTTAACTGGTTTTATTCTCCCTATTATTAAGGAAAATTTAATACACTTTTACTACAGGTATCTTAAGTAGTATTTTCATAAGTAACACAATAATAATAAAAATAAAGTGTGTTTAATAACTATAATATTCACAGTTCAATTATAAAATAATAATAAAGAATGTTACTTCACCATATCATTTACACACTATCCACATCCTATTTTCCCTCATCACAACCATTACATAAATATTTGATTCATTTTGAGATTCACAGAAATAACAAAAAAAGCCAGATATTAGCAATACATCTAAAAAAAATGGTTAACAACAAATATTACAAGATATGGCTTATTCAGTATATTCTCCTTGAAAGTATACAATATTTTTATCTGTTTCATAAATCTTCACAGAATGTAGAAGACCTGAAGGAATGTATGGTTTTAAGGACTCCCATATAAACACAGCTACATTCTCTGTAGTGCTGAAGAAAGATGAATAAAGCCATTCATAATAATATATCTTTACATGTTACACTAACTTTATTACATAAACAAAATCATACTCATCTGATATGATATTTGAGAAGAAAACATTACTTTCAATCAGTTGCAAAAGTAATTCACATTAATGGAAATGTTTGAAAAAAAGAAAACTATTTCAACTCACAAAAGAAGTAAAAAATAACGCAGGTTATTTAAGTAAATATTTTCTCACATCAACTTTCCTAATAAATAAAGACGCAACAACGTGATCTAAAATTGACCCAAAAATTTAGCACATAAGAACAATGTTCTGTTCTTCTACTAAAGTACAAGTAATACCCTCTTTTAAAAAAATGTAAGCTTTTGAGACCTCCTTAGGATTATCGTCCTTTGTGTAATATATCATATATATCATTTTGTATCATACAGATACTTATTGATTTGTAAGTTTGCCTTCTTAATGCTGTAAAGAATCAGCTAACACAAGTATCTGCATATATAATCATGTTACATGTCAAAAGAACATTATATGTGTGCATTTTAACTGAACAGGACTGAATATTTGATTGCTATATGTATATACATCTGCAATATCTCCATATCAAGCCACCATATTTTTAAATTACTTCTCACATGAAACACTGATTTCCATAGCTGGTGAGACAGTGTATGTTTTTCTGGCTTGCTTATTAGAACAAAATAAATCTATTGTCAATAACTTTTATGCACTGTGACCACTTATTTGATGACTATACAACCTAATTTTTGGGGAGGTTACAATCATGTTTAGCTCTAATGACTCAGACCTATAACATAAGAATTAATACAAGTTTAAGAATTAATTCTTAAGTTTATAGTTTAAAACAATAGAGACATCCAATCCATACAAGTTTTGTACATGAATACCTAAAAGTTAAAAATAATTAAAATGACTCAATACTTTCAAAAATCAAATTTCAGATCTCTAATATTGCCAAAAATATATTTGAAGTTAAAAACCATTACAAAATAAAAATATTTTGAGTAAAATAATCCTCAAATTGTTTTTATACAACTTATTCAAAATTCATATATTACTTTTAATGAAAAAATTTAATTAAAATATTTGCAAATTATTGAAAGACATGGAACAAATGAAAAATTACATAAGTGACTAACATTATATCACAATTTACTGGAGAATATTCAACTTCACTACCAGGCAAGTGCTGCCTTAATAACTGTATAAAAAAAAAGTGGTCAATTGGGAATTATAAAAAAACTTTCAATCTGAAATAACACATTCTTACATACAAATATGAATAAGTATTTCATCTACATAACTTAAATAAAGTCACACATACATTTTTCTAATGTGACTATTTATCAGATATCTAACATAATTTCGACTAACCTGACTTTCTCTATGAAATATGGTACATCTTTATCCAGATTCTTATGATCTATGACCTTCATAATAGCTTCCTATAAGAAAAGAACATATGACCTGAGACCATAAAGAAAAACTGATTAGAATAATTTCATGTTACAAGCTATTAAAACTTTTAAACTGTCCTAAAATAAAAGTAAGAACTGTGTGTACTTAACACATTCATGACAACATAGCATAATTAGGAAACCACCCTGAATATTTCAAGTTAAACAAACAATATCCACCAAAAGTGAAAGACATAATTTTGTATTTAATTTTTAAGAAGAAAAAAACTTTTCATTTTATCATTCCAATAGAATATGGCACTTTGCCTGTCTACTGTACTTAACAATATTGAAATATAACACTTAAAGCTGACTTTCTATCAGACCTTTTTAAGTAGCTACTTTATCAAAGAAAAATCACCAACAACAGAAAAAAATACATACAAGACAGGGTTTAGTGTTCTCAGGTGTACGGATGAACCTGACAGGTATGAATAGTAACTACAGATAGTGAAAAGAAGAAGGGCAGAAAATGTTATGCAGCATTTAACCAATCTTGTCACTCTGAAGAGTTTAACAGAAACAGATCAAAGCAAAACATAGTGAAAAGCAATCTTTATTGTATACAAAAAAAAAGATAAGGTTAGATGAGTGCACAGAACAAACAAATGCACTGTTCTCTAGGTGGAGAGAACTCTCGTAAAATGATCCAAAAGAAAGCCTGAAATATACTGAATAAAAGTGGGAGAGTAATCCTACTGTATATGAAATGCAAGAGCATCCTGTCTCCAAGAATGCATTCATTATTCATGTCATAGGTCATTCCAGTGGCAAAAATACTGAAGGTTATAGGTGTCACAAAGCCCACAACTTAAAAATACGTGTACTTCTGCAGGATTCTCTTGTACAGGGATGCTGCAAGTGAAAATGGACATGACTCATAAAAATAAGTAACAAAGACAACCAGAAGTTTAGCCCCATTCCAGAACCAGTCTGTTGTTAAAGTATAAACTCTACTGTATGCATGCACATCCAATCTTTTTTTGAACTCAATTAAATTTTCTGCCTCCACCATCCTTGAAGGCACCTAATTCCAAAAGCTAACCACCCTGTTTGAAAAGTAATACTGTCTAAACTGCAGATGACTCCTATGATGCCAAAATTTGAACTTATGACCCCTTGTCTTATTGTTTTCACTGCTAAACACAAAAAAATTTGATGGATATATATTACAAATACCCTTAATAATCTTAAACAACTCAATCAAATCTTCTCTGACCCTTCTTCTCTCCAGAGAAAACAAGTTTAGAGATTTTAGTCTCTCATCACAGGACAATCCCACCATCCCAGGTATCACCCTAGTGGCTCTTCTCTGAACCTTCTCCAACAATTCAATGTTCTTCTTGAGGAAGGGAGCCCAAAACAGTACACAGTACTCTACACGAGGCCTTACAAGTGATCTATACAGCAAAACAATAATATCCCTTGTCTTGTATTCAGTGTTTCTATAGATGCTACCCAAAATCCTATTAGCCCTATTGCTAGCTACAATACACTGTTTACATGACTTAAGTGAATTTTTTATCACAACGTCAAGATCTTTTTCTTCAACTACAGTATTCAATGTATCCCCATTTAAATTGTAACAATAATTTGAATTGTGAAAACTTACATTTTTGGATAGTTAAACATCATCTGCCCTATATTGGCCCAATGCATTAAATAATCTAAATCCCCCTGTAAATCTGCAGCATTTTTGATACAGTTAGCCATACCAAAAATCTTAATGTCATCTACAAACTTCAAAATTTTGTTAGTCATCCCAGAGTCAATAACATTAATATAAATCACAAACAGCAGAGGATCCAGCACAGAGCCCTGAGTCACACCACTTGTAACTGTGATCCAGTCAGATCTAATTCCATTTATTACTAACTGCTTTCTACTCTTCAGCCAATTTTCTATCAAATTTAATAACATTCCACTCACACTCACAGATTTAATTTTTGCAACAAGCCTTTTGTGAGGCACCTTACCAAATACTTTCTGAAAACCAAGGTAAATCAATCCACAGTATTTCCTTCATCAACTCTTGCAGTAACATTCTCAAAGAATGTCAGAAGATTTGTTAAACAAGACTTTCCCTAAGTGAAACCATGCTGGCTCTTTGACACTATATCAAACTGCTTTAAGAGACTCTGCAATGCATCTTTAATCATACTCTCCAAAATCTTTCCAACAACTGATGTAAGAATAACTGGCCTATAATTGCCTGTACAATGTTTATCACCTCCTTTAAATATTGGACTAACATTATCCAACTTCCAATCTTCTTTCACTACTCAATGACCTATAAATCCTAGCAGTTCACAAATAAAATATTTAAAACTGTAGGATAAAACTTGTCTTGTTCAGGGGACTTATCATTTTTTAGGGTTCCCAACTTTTCTCTTACAATATCAGAACTCTTACATCAATATTTTTCCCCATACATGAATCCAAGTTATTTAAAAATAATGTTTGCAACACTAATGATAGGAAAGGAGGGTAATAAGGTATTTTAAAATACCAGACTTGCTCAATTTGACTATTATTATTATTAGTTTATTTTCATGACAAAATAAAAACTTAAAAAATACCAATTTATAACACAAATATGAATTTTTCAAGAATATGTAATCCACAACAATGACTTAACGTCAAAACTTTGTGTAAAAACTAGAATAATGAGTAAACAGCTGATTGATAACCAATGGTGGTAAGCATTTATGAGTAGTTAAAATGATCTCTCTTAGTTAAGAATAACATGTAGATTCTTATTTGGGGATTTTTGGCCCGGAAAAGCACTGTGCCCCAATATATTATCAATTTCATAATTTGCCAAGAAGTTTTTGGACAGTTGGGATGACATTAATAAAGAAAGTTTGACACTAATGAGAAACATTTTCAAATATACATTAATAACATTATTATATATTATCCTAATTTATGACTTGGTGAGAAAACAGCACAACATTTTTAGAACTGTAACAAAAGGCATATTTTGATCTTCGAAGGTTTGGAACACATAATCAACTGATGGTTCAATCTTCAATATTATCTGTACTAATTTGCATATTTTACTGACGATATTACTGTAACCACTAGTTTATATCAATTGAAAACCCTTTTACTTCACAGGTAATCTATATAGTATGAAATAAAATATTTGCATGTAGTTTATTCGTATGTTATACAAAATAAAAAATCATGTTTTTATATGTTAAATATAAAAAAAATGCACATTGTTTATGTACAAGTACTGGATGCTATGTGGGACACTAAACACAGTAACCATGCGTTGCAAGAGTACCTTGTTGCAATCCATTAAAAGAACTGCATCTGACTTAATCAAAACAAATATTCATTTAACAGTCCCTATTCCAAGCAAGTTAACAGTCATAGTCTTTTTTAACATAAAATTGTCAAATAATTAGTCATACCTAATAAAAAATATAATAATATACAAACAGCAACACAGAACAGTAACACTAACAGTTTGATTAGAAAATAAATATAGGCCTTTAACTCTAACAAAATAGTCACAAAAGACAGTTTTATCAATTGATTAATTAAATATACACCATGCATAATGGCATCAGCTAAATAATACAAATAATTATAAATAAACAGCAAAACATTAAAGCATAAAAGTAACACTTCAGTTAGAGAACAGGTGTACACATTTTATTGAACCCATGTGGCTTCTCAATGCACGCACTCCACCCTCTGCTATAAGTCATCCCACTTTGCTTACCATGTCTAGGGTACAATGTGTTGTGGGTCTCTTTATGGATTGTTATGGTGCCCCTAGTTGATCAGTATTCCTTTATTTCCCAATGTCATTAACCCTACGTGTATAGCAGGGGATCAAAGTGCACATGTCATGATCTTTTTTACAGAGCTACATTCAAAATTCAGTTTATTATAACTATTATCAATAAACTTTGAATCAAAATGTAATTTATGTAATTCATGCTTTAATTCTATTCAAGTTTGAATTTCTTAATTTCAAAAGGAAATATCTAAATAAATTCTTAATCTTCACTTCTCTGTACCATGTGACACATCTTCAAATTACCCATTTTAGATTTTGTTTCTATCCCTATATGATCTTCTGAGTTTGGCACAAAGTACACACTTATACTACAGACATTGTTAAGTTATAGTCTCCTATCTTGTTTTACTGAGATATAAACCAGAAAGTCACTTCCATATGCCACACCCATCTTATCACATCCTGTCTTTCAAAAGGTGTCAATTATTCTCTCTGACATTTGTTATTGGGTTATACACTACATAAATCACATGGTCTATTTTGTTTGCAGTGTGACACTGATCCGAGATGTAACAAAACATTCTTAATCTATTAACAAGTAAGTTAGACGACCAAATAAATTAAAGTAGTTTCTATAGAATCAAATCTAGTGAGTGACATGGTTTGGGTTTTCTAAAATTCATATTTGAAAAATATAGGAATTATTTTTTGGACAACAAACATAGTTAGAGAAAAGAAGGCTTAAGAAAGCAGGAACTCAACTGCAAACTGGTCCAGACCAAAGGCAATTTATAACTTTCTTGTTGTTTATGTATACATTTTTTAATAATTATTATATCATTTTTAACAAAACTAACAAAAATGTAAAAATTAAAAATTTACTGGGTTAGATAAGAAAACTTTAGTAAAAAATATAAACAATTTTTGCTTTAATTTGATCTTCTGGTGAACATGTGTATTATGTGATATAAACTGAAATTCATGTACCATAAACTATTCACACTCCCACCAGGTGATTATTTTCTTCCACAGCAGTTAGACATGGTTCAAAAAGCAATAAACCAATGAAATTTGAAAAAAGCAGCTGTGAGAAGTTAAAAGGGTACAGCCCTTAAGATAAATAATTTTATTTATCTATTACAATATACAGTCATTTAAAAAAAAAAAGGTGTTTCAGATTTTATTTCATATTTTTCAACTTTTGCCACAGTTAGTGTTATGGTAGATAAGATAAGAGATAAAAAAATAACTTTTTCCAACAAAAAAAATAAAGATATTAATTTAAGAGGTTCTAGAAGTTTGGCAAAGGAAATATGGAAACTGTAAGATGGAAAGAAGTATTTTTATTATTTCCATAAAACACCTTTCACTTTACTGACTCAGTAAAGGTTTCTTAAATTCACAGAAAAAATCTTTAGTACAAATACTTAAAAAAAAAATATTTTCTGTGTACAATAAACGTGTAGTGTTTACTAAAGCTTGTCACATTTTGTGAAGATGCACTTAGTGAATTTGTAATTCTAGTAAACATTGCTATGCAGGGGTCAAAATAATAGGGTTTTTGGTCATTCAAAATGACAATAATACATCTGTTATGACTATCGTTTACCTTGAGGTTGCCTCAGAGGATAACCTGGCATGGAACCTTACTTATGGAATTACACTGTTACTGAGTAAAACGTCTCTGGAGAAAATGATCATTATTTTAAATAAAATATTTTTGAACATATTTTTGCTTTTTTGTCTTGTGCTATATGTTGTTCTAAACAAATATGCTGGACCATAGACAGTGCAAAACAGCCATGAGTGTTTGGCTCAGCTGAATGAAACCAGACCATGAATGTAATTCCATACTTGCCAACAGATGTCGCTGGTCAGAGTAACTCCTTACTCTCATTTTATTTGAAAGTGTTTCCAGTCTCCAAAACATGTTTTGAAAGACAATTTGTACAAAAAAATAACTGTTCTATTCTAAAACCTAAAAACTTACCTTAAGATTATTTCAATATTTTTTCCTTTGAAATACTTATTGGAGCAGATGAATGTATAAATTTATATTGTTTACAATTTTCAATACTAGTAAAACATACAAATCTGTGGTACAAACTACAATTAACAAACACTTCACCATTTTTTGCTACTTCCCATGAGTTTCATGGATGAAGACCTTCCTTGAGGTCAAATAAAAACATAAAATGCTATGAAAGCTTGGCTTTACTATCACCAAAAAAACCTGAGAACAAATGTAGGGACACAGGTAGGCCTGAAGAATTACTTAGGTTGTTTGGTTGCTTGATTTGAAACAAATCCACACTGGGCTATCTGTTGTGTCCATGGTCGGGAAACAAACCTTGGATTTTAGCAGTGGTATAAGTCTATAGACTTACCACTGTCCCACCAGGAGACTAATTAATTTGAAGCATGTCTAAACTTACTTTAGATTCAAGCATATACTAAGCCTAGCATATACTTAAGGTTAAGTCTAACCTTACAATGACAACATCATGTTAATCAAAGTTTGAAACACTACCAATCTATCAATAACCTATATTATGTGCATCAAATACTAAGACAAATAATTAAGTTGCTGGTTTTCAAGTACTTAAGCAACAATTCCCTTTTTCCTGACAAGTGACAGCAAGGTTGGTAAAAATGTAAGTGTAAACAAATTATTTTTATTGGAGTCCCGAGTTCTGATTTGTTTACTAGTACTTAATAAGTCAAATATCTCATGATCATGATGAAAATGTTGTTGTACAGTAGGTGCTACTTACAAATATAGCAGTTTATAGATATGTTTAACATCAATGATTATTGATACAGTAGGTACTTATGCTACAATAAAGCCTCACAAATATGAATACTTTTATTTAACACAGGTAGAATGAGACTCTTTGCAAACTATTGCATTGGTTAACATTAAACCATCTTTGTGAATATTGGTGCCTCATTGCTTTTACACTTAAATTTACACTACAAGAAATTCTTAATATACAAATTATTTAAAACAATTAGATTTTTTCTCTTAAAATATTAAAATAGATTTTTTTTAACCCAGTCTACTGGTTGTGAATTCAGTTCCAGTACTCAGACTCCAAAGATAGGCCTGTTGAAAATGAAAAGATCAGTGAACAAAGTGAATCAAAAGACCCACCAATTAAGAAAAAAAAAGGCAATTTCTAGAAAAGCATGTGTGGCTCCAATGAGATAACAGAAACATGAAATGTTTATGGTGTAGTGAGTTTGACAAAACTTCTAATAGAGTTCAAAACAACTTTGTAACTGGTTGTTCATTGTTGCAGCTTCATTAAATCAAGAAACATAGATCAGTAATGTTTACATTGTTTGTGCAAAGGTATCCAAGGCAACACCAGGAACTACATCCCTCCCAAAAATTGTACTCTGAATGGATGAAAAAGAATCTGACATGATAAAAAAAACTTTTTACAACTACATTATACATTGAATACCATGAGAAGCCCTATATCGTCACTTGAAGGCACTAATTTTGATACAAATCTGAATGCACACTATACAAGTGACAAACAAACAAGAACTTTCATATCTTATACTGCTCATGATATAAGAGAAAACCTTTGAGAGAAAATGAGAACATCTTAATTTTTTGGGCTCATTAATAATTCTTGTATTGACACAGCTGTGATTAAGAAAGAAACTATTCATGTTAGGATCACTGCTAAAAGTTTTTATCCAGTAACTCATTTCCTGGCACTTAGAAAAGTGGGAAAAGCTGACGGCAAGGGAACAAAAAATGTCTTGGTGAAGGTTATGGAAATTAATGGTAAGAGTAAAAATTGGAGGGACTGTCTCACAACTATGACAACTGCTAGTGCCCTTGTAATGTCAGGAAATAAAGAGATGTGTAGCCCTAACAAGACAGGATAATTGTGAACATGTTATCGACTTCCACTGCACCAACCATCATCTGGAATTTGCTATCAAGCATGCAGTTAAGTAGCATATCTGGAAAAAATTGACAGAACATTACAGAAAATATACAAATTTTACCATCATTCACCTCTTAATTGGGATGGATTACAAATACGTGGAAGAACTACAAACATCATAGTCCAAGGGCCAGTTAACATTACTGAGTACAAGTTGGGTATCATACATAGAAAGAGCATTGATTGTAGTAAATAAAAATTGGAGAGTAATGGTAGAGCACTTAAATCAGGTGTCAGTAATGAACACAGGTGAAAAAGCTAGTAAGGCAAAGTGTTTGATAATAACTCCTATGTCACTGGAATTTATATTGGCAATGAAACTTTTACTGAAGTTGTTCTCACACCTCACAGATCTTAGTCTTGTGCTTCAAAAAACAGATATTGAAAGTTCCAGAATTTAAACTGACACTTGAAAATATCAACATGTAAGATGAAATATTTGAGCTGATGAAAGAAAATTACATTGATGACGAAGTTATTCTTCTGCAAACTGTGCCCCTGACAGAGGCAAGCATTATGCTGATGTTGAATGTGTGCATAAAGATGGCAAGACCTTAGTGAATTTAACTCAAGATTCAGTAATTAGCATTTTCATGGCATTTAAACCCCACCTATGACCAAGAAAAGAGAAAGGCTAGACAAGTATAGTGTGCCAGAGGTCAGAGCTCTGACTGATCATTTCAACCCAGATAAGACTAAGCAAGAATGGACTGAAGTTCTCATACAAACCAAAAAGATGACTGTCATACCTCATGTTTCTGACTTCTGGACACAGAAGCTACAAGAAGAGAAGAGAAAACAATACAATAACATCCTCCCACTGGCAAATATTATCGATGCATTTGCAGTTCTCTTAACCTAAGGTTGAGAGAGCATTTAGCTTGATTGTTTTGGTTTGTTTGGAATTTCCCACAAAGCTACACAAGGACTATCTGTGCCAGCCATCCCTAATTTAGCAGTGAAAGACTAAAAGGAAGGTAGCTATTCATCACCACCAACTCTTAGGCTACTCTTTTGCCAAAGAGGAGTAGGATTGACAGTTACATTATAATGCTCCCATGGCTGAAAGGGCGAGCATATTTGGTAAGAAGGGGATTCATTCAGCGTGATGGCCAGGATGAAAAGATTGGCACTAACGCCTTCACTTAGCACCACTTAATGACCTTATGTCTATAAGACTAACTAACAAAACTTTGGCCTCAAATGATCCCTTCCAACAATTTCCTTGTGAAAAAGCAAACATTTGTCAGATGACGGGATGATGGATATAGTAGATTTATTTAATGATGAGTCAATGGACATGTCAGTTGAAGCAATAGACTAACTTATTAGCTGAGGCAGGGGAGTTTAGAGGATGGAGATGGCTCAATAGATCCCATGTTGTCCCAAAATGTTATATTACATCAGAAGTGGCCATGGAAATATAAAAGTATGTCTAGATCAATAATATTATCAGCTTTGACTGATTTTGCATTGGAGAAATCAAAGGTTGACTTTCTCTTTCAACATAATTCTTGCATGTACAATATCAGACATGTAACAAAAGCAAACAATGTTGTAAAACAAAACTTGTTGTTTTTTTAATTACTTTATTGCACAAGTACAAAGTAATAGCACAAATAAATACCATATAATATGGAATAAATAGATAATTATAAGAATAAGTAATTTTAATGTCACATCATATAAAAATTATTGACATGACCAAAACTTGGCTTGGACAACAAAAAAATTCAGAACAATTCTATCCCCACTGTGCATTATCTCACAGAAATGGGGGTTATGTAACTGCACAAATGGCATACACATAGGGTGAAATACAAGGAACATCCATATCTTGGAAATTCTAAATCCTTTATCTGAATGCATGTTTACGATCTAAATATATGAATATTTTGAATCAGAAAGAGCTGTTATATATCCTTCCCAAAAGTAATCAATTTTCAGTGGTATCACAATACCTACAAAAATATTAAACAATGTCTAAAATGTAGTTCTGATACATTGCATTCCACTACAACTTTATATCAACTATGGTTGTTATGTGACTTGTTGATTTGCACATTCAAAACTGGTTTAATATAACTCACTCTGTTCTGTGCTTCAAGTTTTTTATTTCGTAAAGACTTCTTTGCACTCTCCTGACTCCCAACAGAAAAAATATCCTGGCTTTCAAAAAATTCAAAGTGTAGCTAATTATTTGTTGACATATACTTACATTCATATAATTTTTCAAATCAGCAATGTTCATAACCATCCCAGTTGTTTCATCAATCTGAAAACATTCAAAAATCTCTATATACACACATCTATATAATACTAAGCTAAAAACTTATACATATATATTACAATTGTTTGAAATTGGCTACTCTCAAAAACATTCTTTGAAGTTGGAGAGAGAATTTCCCTACCATGCAAACATAATAAATTATTGATTTACAATAGAATATCACAAACTGGTTATAAAACAAGTGTCCACATGTTTAATAAAACAGGAAAATAGCACACTAACCACTATTCAGAAATGAAAAAAAATATTTACAATTATTACACTTTACCAGAAGGAATTCACAAGATGCAAGGTTATCTTTTTTTGGAGAAAAAACAGATCATTTGTACTCATTTTACTATACAGACATACATACATATATATTAGTTCTAATAATAATTCAGGCAAGAAAAATATAACAATAGCCTGTCAGTGAAATTAGTTTCACTTTGTCGTTCTTATATAATTCAAGTGACATATAATAAATGTCATGGCATGACTTACTTTTGTAGAACAGCAAGCAAATCATTACATACAATGGGCATTTTTGTTGAAAATTCACTAATTATGAATCTATCTCAGTTTACATGCATGTTCATCAAAAGAGAGAATACTTTATCAAAGACTGATATTGTAGTGATCAGAAATTTAATAATACTGTAGTATAACATGCTGTCTATTATCTTTACTGTGCTAACATTTATTGTAAACTAGTGATTGTAGTAAATGAACATATTTTTTCAAACAGTGAGCTATTGTAATATATGAACGAGTTGTAATATATGATGCTGATAACCTGTTTTATCCTAATTTGTACAGTACATGCAATTCATATTGTAGTCAACGTTTTGCAAGTCATTTGTACAGTATCTAAATGTTTGTCACATGTTATTATGCAGATGTATTATGTTACCAATGACAAAAACTAAAACTGTCGTTACACACATGTAGAAGTAATATTCTCACTAACAAAAACAAATAAGATCAAATCTGGGAACAACAAATTTAATTTCCCAAGAAAAGCTTAGTTTCTGATGTATTATGATGCATTGTTTCCAGCTAAATAACAAGACAAGCAATAGAGTAGCACTCCCCCATAGTGAGATGTGTGGGTTACAAAACAAAAGAGTTCTTTTTACATAATCTCTTAGTTTATGTGTGGTGAGTAAATAAAATTGTCAGTACTTCTGTGTTACATCATTATTCTTTATCAAATCAATTATTAAATCCAATTATGAAACATAGGCTATGTAACTGGTAGTGCATAAATATTAAAATTTCCCTTAAAAGATAAGAGCTCCATACAACAACACACTTGTAATTGAATTAAAAGAAACCAGAACTTAATATGCTCATTAAATTTTGACTATTCTTTGTTTTATTTTTCTTTAAATACATAATTCATCTTCTGTCTGTATTGCATGCAGATGGAAAACATTTTAAATGATTCAAAATATATATGCAGTGTCAGATAAGTAAATCCATTTTCGGAGATTTTTTTCTTGACTAACATATTTTTTACAACTAGTATACTATTTTATAACACTGTTTATAAATTCATCTTTACAAAATTTCCTTAGCTGCCAGCTTAAATTTTTTCTTAAAAATAAGAAAACTAAATGCAAAAAAACAATGTTATACAATATCTTGAATACAAATATAAATCCCAAATAAATATTCACCTATGCTATTACTGTTACACCAAAACACAAAATGTCTCCCTTTTTTAACGTTTAAAATATAGGACAGAAGATGATCCATGATAAAATTAGGCTCATTACAAATGATAAAAAATGAAACTTACCTCACCCTTGACAGTAACTTCAACTAAGAAATAAAAACACAATATAAAATAAATCTGATGTTGCAGGTATTAAGAAATATAATATAAAAATCAGCTTGTCTTTATTTTTTGGTACGAAACATTTTATTTAACTCCTCTGCTAATCTAAACAAATAAAATGGGCTTTCAATATATCGATTAATATAAGAAATACTAACTTTAAAAAAATATCGGGTACACTTTCTTATAGCCCTTTTTTCTCTGGAGAGACTATAAGCAAATGCTAAATAAGTTTTTTCCTTAATTGTTCATACTTCTTACTTTACAATGAAGTTTATTGAGCACATTACTTTCTGACTATATTTTACACTTGCTTAGTTTTATTGTTTTGATGATCATCCAAAAAAATCTGTTTCTAGCTTAAGACTCACCCTGCTATTTTTACTTCTACTTCACAGGCAGATTGATAAACAATTAATGTTCAATTTCAACAATGTTTTTACTGTAGATAAATTATTGTATATCAGATTGTGCAAGATTGTTTTTAAAATATAGATATAAACACAAACACATGCAAGTATATAATTACTTAAAGAGTCATAAAAATGTATTTATCCTTCTGCATATTTTTGTGCCTTATATGTGTAATATTAAGATGCATTGATATACATCAGAAAAGTATCTACAAAATGCAACTGTTTGAAATATTATGCAAAGAAATAAAGTGAATTCAGACAGCATAGGAAATAAAAAAGATCTCTAGAATATTAAGACAAAATCTTTATTCTTGCAATGTGAATGTAAGTCTTGAATAAATGGCCAGATCCTAGTTTTGTCAAAAGATCAACTTGGCTGCTGCTATAGAGTAGGTTAAAGCAAAAGACCAAGCAAAGAATAATGACATAGAACAGAGTCCTAATGCAGTGTCCCACAATCCATAATTAGTTACATAAAAGCCATTCCAACAAAACTGTAGTAGTCTCTGTACCACTTGAAAAGAGTAAGACCCCACTCCAGGAAGTTATGACACAGTAATAGAGTCAAACATATACAAGCCTATGGAACAAGCACTGTAATATGTAATCTTTATCTAAGCAAGAGAGTTAGTGTAGGTTTACAACCTTTCCACATTTACTTTACATGAATATCAATAACTAGAAACAGAACACCTGCATAAAAAGTCAGAAAAAGTTACCTTAATATATCTAACTAAAGATATATTTGACTCTTGTCATCAAATGTTAAAATATAATGATATTTCACATCATACACACATAAGTTACCACACTAATAGTTATGGGTAAAGTAGTGCCATCTGTTGGTATGCTTTTACAGTAACATAGCAATCGAAACTGTCATGCATGTAAATATTTCTGCACTGTTGCTTGAAAATGGCTATGGATTTCATCATAACTCTTATTATTTGATTATTCAAAATATGTTTCAGAAGTAAAAGTAAAAAGTTTCCACAAATTAATTTGTTAAAAAAAATCACATTAATCTATTTGTACTAATAATTTATATGTATCTAACTACTCTCTCAACACAACGAAAAACTTGGTGACAGAATCCCACTCAATCCAACAAGATCATCCTTGTTTAGGTTTTTAAACAAATATACAACCTATCATCCCCTTATAAATATATATATATATCAAACAAAATTGTAAAATAATTCAATAAAAGTGCAATATACATTATCAGCCAAACCATTCCATAAGTTTACAAGTAACCAAAAAACATTTTTTACCAACAAGTATCCATCTACACTTACAAAACTTAAACTTATCATCCCCAATATTCAAGTTTGTATTTCTAGCCTATTCATTATGCCACTTAAACAAACAATCCATAGGAAGACTATCTAAAACAGTGTTTCCAAACATGAAATGGTGCCTCCTAACTCAGCAAAGTTTCTGTTCACATTAAAATAATTTTCACAAAAGATAGCAGCTAAATAAACAATAAACATATTCTTTACCTGTTTTTAATAAAAAAATTTTAATGATAAAATGCTTGGAAGGAGTGAGTAAATGTGATAGCAAAAAGAAGCTTTGAGAGCAAAGTGATAATATTGTTAGGTTATCGTTGTCTCAAACTCTTCTGTTTCTTTCATCGTTATTTCTGGGTTTCCCACCAAAAGGTAGCACTGCCAACAGTACATACCCCCCCACGGTGGGTACACCCCACAGTTCGTAAAACTTTGCCTTAAAATGTTTGAATTACTTGAATCAAGTCCTCTTTAATTCTTCTGCAATCCAGACAAACCAACACTTTGATTAAAGCTATAAAAAAAGTTATGTATACCTGTTAAAACACTCATAATCTGATTCAGTAATAAGACATGAGTGAAATGAATAAAGAATTACAAATCAGCCCATAATAAATACTAGTTCTCTAAAGTCAGTTCAATACAAGGTGAAAAAGTTTTACAGTACATGAATAAACATGAACATTTTATATAAAAACATTACCTTTATAATTATGTCCATGGCCATTTGGATTATTGCATTTTCCATAAGTTTTGATGTTTTCTTCATCTGATAAACGCTTACTATCAAATCAAATAAAATTTTAAAGTTATCTTGAATTTACAATCCTAATGTACGTAAGGACTGTAAAGTATCTAAAAATATATATTTAACAAGAAATTGGCAATGCTTTTTAAATTATGCACACAATTTCTTAACAGAAAGATATTACACTTGAATACTAATTGTACAGCAGGGACTAAAATTATGTGCAGTACACTTAAATATAATCGAATTAGTTTTTACTTGACATATAATGGATAGTGTTCAATCCAAATACAACTATTGGATCAATTCCTTAGGCCAAACAACTGGTTATTATATAGTTGCTATATTTATTAAGTAAATTTTATTTGTTTCACAAGATACTATGATACACACAAGTAAATGTAAAAGTAAATATGAAATTTTGGAAAAATGCAAACCAATTATAAATTAAATAGGATTAAATAACAATACTTTAACAGATATGTATTCATACTGTGCCTAAAATTGTCAATATTTGTATTACACAAAATTACAAATTATATAAACAATCTTGTCTTGTCCAGACAAGTCTAACACTTGTTTAAATCTCAACCTATAGTATGCCTTGAAATATATGCAAGTTGTAACATGTTAGCGGGTGTTGTCTTAGCAACAGCTCATTTTCAGTGAACATTATGATCTCTGAGACACTGACATAGCTGATAAGATATCAGTTGCACGAAGAGTGATCAGTGATAATCTTTGCGTTCACTATTTATCAGAAGCATGTTTTAGAGATTACTCTGAAGTAGTTGATAATTTTAAAGTGAACTCTAATTGTACATCATATTAATTTGTGTTGGATTCTACTACCCCAATGCACAAGTGTTACCAAAAAAGGAAAAAGTATAGGACATTATTTATTGTCATGCTAAAGAATTACATCAAATGATTGGTGAAATAATTGCATTTGATAACCAATCACATCCAACTCTTACTAATGAAAGTTTTTGTTTGCTTGATGAAGAAGGCACAGCCATAATACAAATTATCAAACAAATCATATTTTTCTCAAACAAACTGTCCCAAATATATTATAAAGATACATGACTGAATTTTCTGGTCAGATTTTGAATGATAATGTCATTTTTCCAACATGCTGGTCATGCTAAACAACAAACAAAATTTTACTTAAGTTTCACAAGGCAACATTACAGCCCAATATTCTGAAAATTAGATGTTAAAGCAATTACACATGTAGGCCTAATGCTCATTCAAGTTGTTATATTTCATAAACAGTAGTATATGTATAATGTTATATTAGGGACACACACTGATAACACTTTAAGGTATATTTGTAATCATTCCAGAGACCTGTATTATTGTTACCCCTAATGAAAGCTTTCTAATTTTTTGAAAAATTATGTCAAAAGTCTGATAATAATAATATTATTATTATAGAAACAAGATGATTGGATAACAATAAGAAGAATAGGCAAACTCTAGTATTAGTGGCAGAATTTTTTTGAAATATCAGTCTATTTCCAGATCATAAAACGTGTAAGATTTGCAACTACGTAAAATTTTATGTAAACATGCCTGTGAAACGAATTCCTCAACGAGCAGAAAAAGTTATTAACATAGCAGCAGTCCCTACACAATCTGCATCACTACAAAGTACAAGCGAACCCCCTCTTACTTAGTTTTACTTTTTGGTTTCCCTAAAAATAAAAATAAGTTAAACTCAGAGTGTAAAATAACACATATCACTCACACCATTGGTAATTCATATCCAAGTAATTAAAAATAAACGGTTAACAACTTAAAAAGGTTTACAAATATACTTAATGGAAAATAATTAGGTTTGCATTCGTCAATTGATGTAAAAAATATGTATCACGACAGACTGTTGAACCCGTGACTTCGAATCCATCTTCCAAGTTAGAATGAAAAGCATGTTACATTAGTAACTGAGAGGTACTTCACAGTGAATCACGTTAATTTCTGCATAAATAGTGGTTACCTCAATTTCATCTGCTACCATCAAACAAAACTAATTATATTATATTACAAAATACACTTACCTATGCAGTCTGTGACATGCACTGAACTTTTCTACTCTAGTTAAATACAATACAGGAGCCATTATTTTGTTGAAAATGAATACCATCTAGTAACAACGTGAGAATGTGCCAGTTATTTTTTTCTCTCTTATGCTTGTCGAGATAAAGATTAATAGTTTTTTGTAAATTAATTACTCACTTTATGCCACATGGGTTTGAAGAGAAAACATAAATAATAAGAAAATCTTAATATGTTGTGGATGTTACTAGCATTTTCAAAAAATTAAGTATTAGCTATCTGTGCTGTGCCCAAAACGGGTATTGAAACCTGGAGTTTAGCGTTATAAGCCTTCAGGCTCATTGCTTATTCACTGGGCGGCAAAACTGGGCAACAAGCTATTTCCATAGTTTGTAACATCGGATGTATCAGTTTGAGAGTTGGAGTATCATTGAAGGTGATTAACACAAAAAGGAGTTGGGTCAAAATTACACAAAATGGAAAATTATTCAACTCAAGTTACAAGATAACTAGATCTATAATTTAATTTTCACTGAGATGTTCCATTGTGAATAAACAACAACAACAAAAAGACTTAATAAAATAAAATAACGAAAGATAAATCTAAATATATCCTATTGTTACGACAGCGGAAGTCACGTGACGTTGAGAGCGTGGGTAGTGAATTTCTCGAATAATCCGGGAACTCGCGAATGTTGGAGATGCATCTTTGCTAGTACATAAGCCTGACAGAGAAAAGCCAGCGAGGTAAGCGAACAATAGTAACGGTGAGTTCTGTGTAATTTATGATTCAGTTAGTTTCGAGCTAGTGTTTTGCACTCGTAGAGAGCGAAGTTATCGAGATAGTGAATCGCTGTGATTTATAGTGTGTATTATAAAAGTTGTTATGTTTAAAGTAACGAGAAACGTACTGACTGTGGAAGTACTGTGTACTAAAAGTTTGTATCGAGGAAGAATAAACTGGTTTAATCAAGAAAGGACTTGTATCGCTGAAGTTCCTCGGAAAGAATTTCTACCGAAAATTAACAAACAAGCAGATACGTAACACTATTCTCCATGTACTTGAAATAAATCATTCTTGAATTCTCTAATAGATTTCCTATTGTTTATATTAGTCCACAAAAATAACAAATTGTAGCCCATTAGCCGAGACTACGGTATCGTAGATTGCGGGAATAAATGAGTATGGTATGGGACGGTGCCATTTGTTTTCTACTTCTTAAGATATAATTTTCGCGACGAAACAATGTCATTTCCTGTTTAAAGGTTAAATCTACAAACAGTCTGATGCTAATGGAAATGAATTACAGACTTGGTTCGGACCTTACTAACCTTTTCCTGTGCTTCGATGAAAACGTTTGGTTACAGTTCTGTAATGAACATTTTAGGCCTGTGTATTACACGAGACATGCTGATAATAATTTTGTGGTGTTTAACAATGTTATGTCGGTTAACGAATTTCTCCAGTTTTTAAACGGTAAACATTCCAATATATAGTTTAGTGTTGAAGTTCATCAGATTGATAAACTTTTGTTCTTAGATGTCTATATCTTATTAAATACCCAGGGTAAACGTATTGTTGCGTCAT